AAACTCATACAAGGATATAACGATATTCACAGAAGGTGCCTTGGGATGGTGAGACATTTTGGAAGCTCACTGTAAATGCAGGCAAGGAGCCTCAAGAACAGAAATTAACACTGTAAAAACAAGATGCCCATGTGAGAAGGGCCCAAGCCTCAAACATGAGGTCACTGTGATGGTGAGCTGTGCACATGCATTTATCTCTCTGCTTCCTGCTGATACAGTGTGACCAGCTGCCTCCAGTTTCTGCACTCAGGGCCCAGGAGTCTACACGTTAAAAAAAATACTCCCGGGGAGTCTGGGGTCATGTGTTCAGGATTGACACCTTAGGAAACACTGTTGTTTTTTGTCGTTGTTTGTTTGTTTTGTTTTTTTGTTTTTTGAGACAGGGTTTCTATGTGTAGCTTTGGAGCCTGTCCTGGAACTCACTCTGTAGCCCAGGCTGGCCTCGAACCCACAGAGATCCACCTGGCTCTGCCTCCCTGAGTGCTGGGATTAAAGGCATGAGCCACCACCAGCGGGCGAAACACTGTTGCTTTTAAACACTATATATTGTAGCCCTGGAACTTAGCACATATGACCATTTTAAAAAATGAAACAAAGCCAGGGGGTGGTGGCACACACCTTTAATCCTAGCACTCGGGAGGCAGAGGCAGGTGGATCTCTGTGAGTTCGAGGCCAGCCTGGACTACCAAGTGAGTTCCAGGAAAGGCGCAAAGCTATACAGAGAAACCCTGTCTCGAAAAACAAAAAAAAAACAAAAAAACAAAAAAAATGAAACAAAAGCTGGGCATGGTGGCTCACACCTTTAATCCCAGCAAAGGCAGGCAGATCTCTATGAGCTCGAGGCCAGCCTGGTCTACATAGTGGGATCCAGGCCAGCCAGGGCTATACAGAGAAACCCTAGGGGCTGGGACACACTGGAGAGATGGCTCAGTGGTTAGGAGCACTTGTTGCTCTTAGAGGACTTGGGTTTGATTTCCAGCCCCAACATGGCAGCTCACATCCATCCATACTCTGGTTCCAAATAATCCAGTGCTGTCTTCTGACCCCCTCGGGCACAAGGCACACATGTGTACACTTATACACATATAGGCCAAACATTCATACACATAAATAAATCCTTTTTTTAAAAAAAGCTATAGCTGAATACTGAGGAATTAAATGACCAAGCAGTCCCTTTGAAAAAAAAATCTAAGAGGGTTGAAGAGAGGCCAGTGGATAAACACTTGATGCCCTTCCCGAGGACAGAGTTCAATTCCCAGCATCCATGTCAGGGAGCTCACAACCGCCTGGAACTCCAGCTTGAGTGTGAGGTGGGTGACTCCATTCCCTCTTCCAGTCTCCACCATTACCCACACACGCACACACTCACAAGACACATACATGTATACATAAGTAATAAGGTTTAAAAATATATGTTATATATAAAAGATCTTGGGTTGTAGCTCAGTGGTACAGTACTTGCCTCAAATGCCTGACAGTCTAGGTTCAATCCCTAGTACTGAGGGAAAAAAAAGAAAAAATAAAAACTTAAAACTGTATTGTAAATTCCGGGCTACTGGATTTAGCAATCCAAGCCTCGGTTCCCTTGCATCTGAATGCTTCGCCTAGGACATTAAAAAGTCTCTAGATTCTGAGATACTCACAGGAGACATGTAATAGGGTGTGCCAACAAACGTTTTTGCAAAACTCGTGTCGTGGTTTAATATTCTCGCTAGTCCAAAGTCCCCGAGCTTGACGTTGTGTCTGCTGTCCAGGAAGACGTTGGCCGGCTTCAGATCCCGATGAAGCACAGTGTGGCCACCATCAGACCTCCTGTGACACTCTTTCAGGGCCAGGGTCAACTGAGTCATCACTCGGAGGACAAACTCTTCCTCTAAGTATTGTCTGGAGCAAAAAAGCAATCACACATTTTATGATCCTGAATAAAATCACCGAATGCAGGATAAACTACTTCAGCTTTCAAAGTGCACAAACATGGAAGTAAATTATTATTAAATATGAAATGTGGTTATTGTTTCACTAAGGATTTTCTAATGTCCCGTGCACCCACCAAACAAATACAAGAACCTTCTACTATATTATTAAGGGCTCTGTCCCTGTTCCCAACACAATGTGCTTAACAACAAAGCTATACCCTTCCAGCTTACAGTCAAAAGTTACCACTTACCTTTCCTTGGTCCCCTTTGTAATGACACTGGCCAGGTCCCCTCCTTCACAGTATTCCATCACGATGTACAAGGTTGTGTTGGTTCTGTCGATAATACGATCATAGTAACGGACGATGTTTGGGTGTTTCAGCTCCCGAAGCAAGTTCACCTCAGACACAAGCATCTGCTTCTCCACCTCCGTCATGGAGCCATAGTCAAGTTCTTTCCACACCAGTATCTGAAACACAACGTTTCCAAGGTATAAAATTTATTATCCTCAGAGACAACAAATGAAATGTCCAAACTTGAAAAACAACCCGCCCCCCACTACCTCACATGTCAATATATATTACAACTCAAGGTCATTATGATGGTTAATACTGTCAATTTGGCAGATCTAAAATCATCTACGAGGCAAATCTCTGGGTATGTCAGCGAGGGAGTCTAGACTGGGTTCATTCAAGTGGGAAGACCCACCCTAAATGTGGGTGGTACCAAGAAGCAGCAAGCCAGCGGAGCACACCTCTCGGCTCCCTGCGGATACAGAGTGACCAGGGGCCTCGAGTTCCTGCCACCATGCGTTCCGGCCACGATGGCCCGCACCCTCGAACCCTTCCCTTCTCAAGTGGCTTTCGTCAGGCCTTTCAGGTGAGCTGCCCTGCCCCTCCCCGGTGTAGGCGAGGCTTGCTCTTCCCAAAGCGGGCAGGTCCACCGGACGGGCCGCATGCCTCACCTTGCCGTCGCTCTTCCTCCGAATCTTCTGGCAGCGGCCGTAGGAGCCGGTGCCGATGCTGTGCAGCACCTCGTAGTCTTCCACCCGGGACGGCATGGCGGGTGCCCGCACCGGGATAACCGTAGCACCCCGACCCGCCCCAGGAGCCCAGGCTCAGCCCGCCGCAGGCCAACCGCGCCGTGCCGCAGCCCTGCCGCCCGGGGA